TACAGCCTACCACCTGATTATGTAATTAAAGTTTTACTGAAATACAGCCATGTCCATTCACTTATATATATTGTTTACAGCTGCTTTCATTACAACAACAGAGTTGAGTTATTGCAACCGAGACCAGATGCCCCACAAAGCCTAAAAATGTTTATTCTCTGGCCCTTTACAGAAAGTTTCCTGACCCGTGTTTTAGCCTAGGAGTAGCAGCTCCTACCTAGAACCACAGTTGGAGTCTATACTTTCAACTGATTTTAAATCACTTATGATAAAATATTTTTATTATAGTTAATTCAGTAACACTTTTTAAGATTTTTGTTGTGATAGTATGTAAACCTCTGTAATTCATTTTTATTCTTCCAAAGTCATTATGTTGACATGACATTTCATTCCAGTGTTTCTTTATCTACTAGTTTTTTAGTAGTGGCAGAAGTATCCCTCTTAATGTGAGTGAAGGCCTGGTAAATACTGGCAGAAAAGCACGTGTGTCAGTGTGTGTCCATGCATGTGGCATGCGGGAAAGGTGTGCATGTATCAATGCTAGCTGCCCTTGGAGGTACCCCTCCACGTAAGTCCACACATGAAAACCAGTACGTTTGAGAAATTGTCCTGTCACGTTTCCTAAACAGATGGCGGAAATGACAATATTAACTCGAGGTCGATAAGCGGCTCCTGTGCTCTTAGAGACAATGCTTTTCAGCAGGGCCCATACCTCCTTGAACAGCTTCGCTGGCACTGCCACAGCTTTTTCCTCTTCCAGGTAGGATGCCCAGCACCAAGCTTTCTTCCCTTTAGGAGGCAAACCTGAAAGGCAAGTGAAATTAAAATGATAGAATTTCCAAAAAAGAAATCACCGGTGTATACTGTGAGCTCCAGCTACCACTAGACCTGGCTCTTCTCTTCCTACCACAGCAGGTATTTCTCAGGCTCTTCCCTTGGCACCTCTTCTAAAGAAATGACAGCTAAGAAGTGAACTGTAGTGCAGACCTATACTTCTGCGGGCGGAAAAAAGAAGCAGAAGAACTCAGAGTAAAAGAAGACAGAGCAAGAAATCAAGATGGAATGGTGCCATGGAAGCTACAGGAAGTGAGTGCTTCTAGAGGCAGGATGCTCCCAACACGTTTCCTAAGAGATCAGGAAACTGAGGGCTAGAAAAAGCCAGTGCACTGAGTGGTTGGGGAAAGGCTCCTAATCTTGGAGAGGGGGGAGAAAATCAATTCAGTGAAGGGCGGATTTTGAGCAGCAAAAGAATATGTTAAAGATATGGAGTCAGCTAACATCAATTTTATTTTTGACTAATTTGACATATAATGGAAATAAAAGGAAGAATGCAATAGTTTGATAGGTAACAAAATGGGGGAAAGGAATTTTGGGGATGAGATTTCAACAGGCTAAGATGGAGCTCATGAAAANAGAAAAAAGTTCCAAAACTCAAGGATCAAAGAACGTAACATTTAATAAGGCTGGAGACATTCCAGTGCACTTAACAATTTTCAATGTGTCTTAATTGCATATTGAAGAGAATGTACTATTCTTTTCCTAACAATTAAAATATAATTTTATGTCAATGGTCAGAGATATAAGTTAATCCTCAAAGTATACTGCATCCTAAAAATAATTATTTTGTGCTCATAAAAGTACAAAAATCAGAGCTAAAAGATGAATTTTCTTCTCTGCTCTTTCTAAAAAAGAACTCAAGATCCTTCCTATTCTCTAGGCATTTGGCATCAAAGAAAAGTGACTGACAAATTCCTCTATACTTTCTCATTACTATTTCCCAGAAGTATGTTCTAAAGGAAATACATATCATGTCAAATAAGCAACTTATACTTTTAAAACCCTGTAATACTTTTTAGACCACAAAACTAACTTTAACATTCACCCATTTTGTTTATCAAGCAAAAACTAAAAACAAAACCATTCAACCTAAATGACTCAAAACTTTAAAAACAAAAAGCTCTCATTTCAATAAATTCTAATAATTGCTTTAAAATATCATTTATTAATAAAAGGACTAGATCCCAGTCATCACACTGGTACTGCCATCATCACAGCACATCAAACACAGAAGGGGAGAAACTTGTTTGACCCAGAAAGGACAGATTTACAGTTATTTCTAGATTTAGTTTTCTCATTCATTCACTCACTGAAGATAAAGATAATTTTAAATGAAACATAACTACCAATTTACGGGGAATGTGAAGAACAGAAGAACATGGTAAGCAATATGACATGCGTTCAACCAGAAAATCCAGACTGTGGACAACTCAACAACCTGGTTTCTTTAATAATAGTTACAAGTAGAAGAAGAAGATGTAGAGGAATAGGAATCTATACATTAAAAGAAACCAAGAGACACATCAAAGCAATCATAAAGTATGCACCTTGTTTGGACCTAAAACCATCAAATAAACAAACAAAAACAAACCTCAAGACAATTGAGAAGAATGTTTAAGTATGTTAGTCCTATTATAGCATATATAACATTGTATGTTTTGGGGGGGAAAAATCTCCTGTTTTTAGAAGATGCTGAAATATTCACAGATGAAACACTATGATATCTGGATTTTACTTCAAAACAATCCTGGTGTTGGGATTTTAGGAGCAGGAATACAGAGGAGACAAGAGCAGATATAAATTGATAAATGTTGGTGCTGTGTAATAGCTACAGGAGGGTCACTCTATTACTCTACTTTTGTATATGTTTGAAATGGTCTATATTTCAATAAATGTTTTTATTGCAGAATGAATAGAAAAAAACATCCTATGGGAGAAAATTATGCTTTGCAGAAAAAAGCTAGGGAAAAACACACTGACCATTCAAAAGTACTTGACTCTGTGATGCAATCATGGAATTACTTACAATAAAAAGAATTCTGTAAAAATCATATATAACATATAATAAAAAGCATTTTTAAAATCTGAATAGCAAATGACTTTCAACAGGTAAAAGGTTAAAAATCTGAACTGGAAAAGAGTGAGACAGCACTATTATTTTCTATTACAAGCTTTGCATTATAATTGTTTTTAAACATGTACCTGGTTTACTTGGATAAGCACTAAATTAAAATAAGCACACAGCAATGGAAAATATCTCACCAATAGTCATAGCTCTCATCCCAGTTGTCAAAATGTACCAGGAAACGATTGTCCACCATATCTGTTACCGTAGCAACACAGATAAATGCAGGGTTCTTTTTGTCTACAGCTTCAAGCTTCATTCCAACTCGAAAGCCTGATGGGATCACTGTCTATGAAACATACAGATTTAATTAGAGATAAGTACACACTTAACAGCAAGACCTGCATCCTCTCTGCACCTCTGCTTGAAGGCCTGGCATCCATCAACTGTATTCACATAATTTAAAAATCATGTACCAGTTTTACAGCAGGGTCACTTTCCAACAGGCAGCAATAAGAAAACTGCCCTGTTCCTACACCCAATTAACTATCTGGAACTCCAAACTAAAACACTCACAACCTCACAGAGCTTAATTAATATTACCACGTGTTTTGGTACTTCAGTTAGATGACTATACTAGTTAGGCAAATTTTATTCACCATATAGTTCCCTTTCTGTTTTTCTCTTCCTTGATTATAGACTTAACAATGAACATTATTTCACACAAAATATGCAATTAATNAAGCTGTACCCTGGAGCATAAGAATTACAGAGGAAGTAAAACCCTGATCTAAACTATGTAAAATAACTTTTTACTGATGAGATAATGGTCAACTGCCCACTATAAAAAGGGGCATGCTGTAGAATAAAGTGAGACACTTCTCTTCTTGAAAAAGCGCTCCTGTGTCTCCGTGCGTCTTTCTTCATTTTCCTCGCCCACTCCGCCTCCACCTGAGGGACTCCCAGGAACCCGCGGGAGCTGGTCTCCCACACTGCCTGCCTGGGATCTTCACTTGGATGTGTAAAAAGCACCTCAAACTCACGATGCCCAGGAGTTCTAGATTCTACACCCAAGCCTTGCCTTCCTGTTCTCAATCAATGGCACCATTATCTAGTCCATTGTTCAAGTGAAAAATCTAAGTACCTTACAGAGCCCTCTTAGTCTACTGCAATGAACTCCAAACTGGTTTCCCCGATTCCATTCTCGCTCTCACATGTCAAAGCTGGAGCCATCATTTCAAAATATAAATTGTATCAAAGTACTCTCTCGCCTTGAGCTTTCCAATGGCTTCCCATCACACTCAGAACAAAATGAAAACCTGTTACCCTCGTTTACCATAAAGCCCTACATGACCGGACCTCTTCGGCTTCATCTTACCCCACTCCCTCCTAACCCCCAAGGTTCAACTACATTGTCTTTCATTTCCTCAAACAAAACATGCTACACATTACTTCAGGGACTTTTCCTTAGCTGTCCCATTGCCTGGGGCCCCTCACTCCTAACATTAGGAAGCTGCTCCTTATTATTATTCAGATCACACTGTTCATGCCGCCTTCTCTGGGGGGCCTCCCTGACAACACAACTTAGTCAGCCAGTCTGAATACCCTACTGCAGTTCTCAGCAAAGCACCTGCCACAGGTTGACATTTCTCCTGTTTGTTTTGTTTATTATATGTCCCCTTTAGTAAGAATGTGATGTCCCTGAGGAAGGAGATCCGGTCCTCCTGCCGTCACATTCATCCCTGCATTTCCAGCTCCTAGAATAGTGACTAGCAAATAAAAGTTGCTCAGTACTGATCTTAAGGGATATGCTTCAAGATCTCAAAGCTCTCTTTTCATATAGGACCATTAATATATACTTTAGGGATAAGATATTTTTGTTTTAATTCACACATTTTGAATTAATTCTCCTCAAATATACCTGACGTTTACCTGCCATTTTCTACCTACGCACATAGTTTTATGAGATCTATCTGCAATTTACCAAAAAGGGATTGGCAACTTGGTACTGAGAGGGACTGAAGATTCATTCGCAACACTACAGGTTTCGCTGCGGCCTCTGTCACTCAAGCAATAAATTTCAGGACATCCTACTTCCTCACCCTGAGGAAGAGGTACTATTACTTATCATTGCTGTGTTGAGATGAGGACAGCAACACAGAGGGCAGGTAGGTGCTTGCCGATAGTAACACAGAGAGTCCCAGATGCAGCACCTGAATCCAGTAGCCGGCTGCAGAGCCAGTGCCGTTGACCGTGGTGCTACCCATCTGGAAGCGCCCCTGTGAGAGATACTAACCATTTCATCCTCTCTCTCTTCTCCATCCTCCTTGGAGTCCACTTTCAGGGATAGTTTTGGTTTTTTCTTCCGACTACACTTAGGATCTTCTTCCTCGTTGTCTTCTCCTATGTCCCTTTCTTCCTTCTGATCTCTGCTGTGTTTATAAACCCAAAATAGTGACAGGAAACAACACCTATCAAACATCTCCATGTTGAATATCAGTGCAAAATTTTTTTTAAAAAAAAATCACGCTCCGAAGTAAGAAATATTTATCCGCCAAAAGAAATGCATAGGCATTAGAAATATCATAGATAAGGAACACTTCAAACATGGATGACACTGTCAAGGTAAAAACTGGAAATTAGCTTACATGTTAACTTCAAAAGGGGACCAGCACTATGCGTGAAACAGAATCTAACAAGTTTAAAATTATTTGTCTTTCACATCTGCCATCCATACTAATAAAAGAATCAGTCATTTAAAGATATTTTAGTCTGTGGGGCAACTTTAAAGCAAGGAACTAGCAATTATTAAGAGTGACAAGTCCAACGGAGAAAGGCCAAGAGTAACTTTATAGAATATCAGTTGGCCAACAAAAACAGATAATTCACAAGCCTGTGCTGATTAAAACACATGGGAAATGCCACTAAAATATAAATGTCAAGTCATTTATTTGTAGTGTAAAATTCTATACAAGAAATTACTTTCTTTGTTATAAGGTGAACTCTCTCAGAGTCCCCAAAAGTCACACCACTGTCCATCACAGCTGACAGCCTTGTCTTGTATTTCTCAGTCTGCCCTTAGATCAGCAGTCACATAACTCATTGCACCACTCACTATGGCCATCTTCATTCAGTTCATTTCCAATCAGCTTTATTCCATTTGTAGAGGTTGAGCTGAGTTGCCTAAGAACCCCCAAAATATAAACAAAGCTGTGTTTCCATAAACATCAGTATCATCAAAATGTGTATGTAGCCAGAGAACTTTAAATTCTCTTAGCTGGGGAGCAACTGAATTAATACAAACAAGGACCAAGGAAAGAGACAGGAATTGTATGGCAGGTAGGACATAAGCAGTAAAACTCAGATCAGACATGACTGAAGTCACTAGGACCAAGAATGGGATCAAGGTCCATGTGTCTCTAAAGGAAAAGTCTCTGAAAAAAAAAAAAGGGCATAAAAGAGTACAGAGGTCGGAGAGTTTCTGTCTTCCCAAGCACCATGACCTTGAACTCTAAAACCCACTGTATAGATGGAATGGAGCAAAAACCTACTTGTCTTTGATATGCCGAGTACAATTCTGGCTGCAATAATTTCCTCCAGGAAGACACTCATCTACATTGCCATACTGACAACAGTTCTCACAAAATTGAATCCCCTCTACTTTCACTGGATCCTTCAACCTGAAAGGCATCCCACTCTTCTCTGAAAAGACTAGAAGATGAAAAGAAGAGAAAAAAATGTAAAACCATGACAGAAAACATTCCAAAATACATTTAAACTTGTTCTTCTAGTAATTTTGTTAGCAACACAGTAAAAGAAGAATTTGCTGAATGAATGAATGATCAAACCATGGCACTTGGGAGGGAGGAGAGGATGGGCTTGGCAGGAACCACTCAAATCATTTATATAACAACAATTCTGCAGAAAAGATAAACAAAAGCTTGTCCAAGGCTTTTTCTACAGAGTTCGGAGTAAAATGAACAAAATTCCTTAGACACTAAATTCAGAAGATGTAACCGTCAATGTATATAATCGTATTTTATCGATGTATCCTTGACAAAATGTAAAAAGGGTTATTTGTGTCATTTCATGTTTATTATCTTTTGATTAGTAATTTTATTTTTACTTAATTTGAAGGCTAAATCAACGTCTCTCTGTTTTACTTTTAATGTAGATCTCCTGACTCATAATTATCCAAATTGTTTAGGAACTCACATTTCCTTTTGCCTGAATCGTTGGGCTAATCATTCATTCAGCAAACATTTATTAGGCACCAATTTAAGCTAGACATTGAAAATGACAGTATAGACTTTGCCCAAGAGAGCTCGCAGTCTAGAAGAGAAGACAGGCAAGAAAACCAGTACTTATAATAACATGTGACACATGCAGTAATTGAAGCACGCACAAGTTCCAGAAGTAGCACAGAGGAGTAAGTGATTCACTCGGCCTGGGGTGAGGTCAGGGAGGGATTTTCTGATATGAAGCCTCAACAGGGTTTTGAAAGCCAAAAAGGAATTTACCAGCTGGACAAAGAGAGAAACAGCATCCCAGCTAGAAGAAACAGCTCAAATAAAGACAAGGAAGCATGAAGCCACATGATGTGTCGGGAGAATTACATGTAATTCAGTGCTGCTGGCACTGCCAGAACACAACGTACAAAGAACGGAACAGAGAGCAAAGAGATAAAGCAAGCAGATCGGTATGGGTCACCCAGATCTTTATATGTTTTGCTAAAGAGTTAAAAAGAAAGTGGTGAAGTGTCAGATAAGCAATCTACAAAAGTTCCTCGAAATTCAGTGCACAGGATAAACTGGGTGAAATCAGAAGCAGAATGATTCTTTTAGGAGATGTCTGCAATGGTTCAGGTGAGAGCTGACAGGGCCTGAATTAAGGCAGTGGCAGTGATAATAGATAGAAAAGGCCAGATCTGAGATGTATTTAGGAAATAAAAACTGAGAGGATTAAGTAACAGGCTGGGGCTGGGGAGGACAAACGGGGGTGACTCCTAGGTTTCCTGCTTGTCCACTGGGCAGATGGCGCTACCGTCAACTGAAACATGAGTTACAGAAGAAAGAGCANTAAGTTAGGCTGTGTGCTTGAAGCAAGTAGAAATACTTCGAACTCTTGCTGAAGACTTAAAAGATGAACAAGGAACCCATCCAATCATGGAAGAGGGGCTGTGCCATGGCCCTGGTGTGTTGGGACAACATGACTGGGAGGAGCTGTGCAAAACTGAGTGACCTAACATGAAGGGCTGGCTGGGCAGGTGTGGCAGGTCAGGGGGAGAAAGCCTGGAGGACACTGAAGCCTCTATGGAACTGACCGAGGGTCCAGCTGAATACGGTGGCCAGTTCATCTGCTCAAGTATTAAAGGGAAGGACCTGAGGACTAGATTCCTCATGAGAATAAAGTGTTGCCGATGAACAATGAAAGGAAAACAAGGTACAACATCAGGAGGCTGTGGTTTGAGGGAAGCACTAAACACTAAAAATCCTAGGAAATGAACAACAGCAGAGGTTTCTGGTAAAAGTGCAAAAGTACATGAAACCTATTTGATGCAAAAATAAAGTAAGATGTTCTCATGTTTGCCCTGACACTACTCAAAAGTTACTAATTTCCATTTTTTCCCCTTATCTACTTCAAAATCATAATTTTTATTGACAAAAATTAATCAAAGAAAAACCCAAAGCAACACTTTAACTGCCTTATGTGCATTACAGCTAAAAGTAAAATGTCTATTTGTGTGAAATATTTTAAATTTCATAAAGTTACAAGTAAAACCTTTCTTTCATCAACTCACCCTGCTTTAATACAGTCGAATCACCTCGCCTTTTCCTTCGGGCTCTCTGAGAACCCCTCAAGATTCTTCCATCTTGTTTGTTCTCCTACAATAAGAAAGGAAAATGATGATTTTTAAAAGTTCATGAAATTGGCACCAACGAAAAGTTAGAGAGCTGTTAGAAAGTGTTATTTTTTTTTTTTTGGTACTTTTCTTCAATTTCACTTCATATGTTTTAAGGAAAGTAAGAATATGGGTCATTTGAGAATTGTGTTGCTTTTGGCCTGAGGTCATTACAAAATAAGAACGTTTCCAAGAATTACACTCTGGAAGAGCACAGGTCCTGCTCCCCCTCCTGAAAGCACTTTCTTCCCTTAGCTCCTTCACCCCTCTGTTCTGATTTTCCTCATGCCTCACTGGCCCTTCTTTCTCAGTCCCTTCATTGATGTCTTCTCCATCCAATCTAGTCCCCTTCTTTTCTCTATCTAATCACTCTCCCTAGGTTTAAAAGATCACCTGTCTACCAGATACTCCCAGTGGTGTCTCCAGCCTTGAACTCCTCCCTGACTCCACACTTACGTACACATCTGCCTTGCCGGNTGCCTGGAATTAAGAAGCACTCAACAAGTGGCATCTTTTTTCATAACTAAAACTCCATAGTCACCATTTTAATTGAAAAATGAAGACAAGACAAAGCTTACCTCAGCCACGGTGAGGACGCAGTACACAGACTGGTGTTCTGGGTCTACGCCTTCTAATTTCATGCCAACTTTAAACCCATTTTTGTTATAAGGAAAGGATTGATACTACAATGCAAAATGACAGCAGTTTTAGTATTTTATATTGAAGATTGAATTAAAAATAGGAATAATTACCACTCTTAAATAAAGACTATTTAACCAAACACACACTCCTAAGGAACTGTTAAAATTCAAAAGAAAAGAATCACCTAAGGATCCAATGGAAATGGGCAAAAACTATGAACAGGTCACAGAAAAGGAAATGTAGATGGTCTTACAAATTTGAAAAGATGCTCAACCTCACCCATAAGTCACACAAAGTAAAATTACACAAAAAAATATTTCACCTATCAGACTGGTAAAGGCTAGAAAGTTAATAACACTGCGCTGGCAAGGCTCTAGGGAAACAGACAATACATACATCACTAGGAGAGAAGTAAACTAGTACAGCCTCTAGCAATCTCACGGTATCGACAAAGAAAACATTCTCTTTGACTCAACAATTCTAATTCTAGGAAATTACTCAACAGAGATACCCATATATATATGTGTGTGTGTATATATATATACACACACACACACACACACACACACACACACACACACACACACACACACATATATGCAAAATGACAGGTGTACAAGGTTATTCACTAAAACATTTATATGGCAAAAGATTTGTGTATATATATTCCATATACATATATTATCCCAAATTATGTCTCATCTATAATAATTTAAGCTGCTCCCTATTGATTGACATATATATGTCAATTGACATATATACGGCACATATATGTCAACCAATAGAGGCAGCTTAAATTATTATGGAACAGACATAAGATGGAATATTATGCATTAATATAAATGATAAAGAAAACAAGGGACTGAGATG